TTGGGCAAAAGACAGAATTATGGCATAAATTTTTAGTTTGTTTCTAACATGAGCACAGTACCTATGCTCTCCATTTTACACAGCCACAACCAACTAACAGGTTAATAACAGTCTGATGGGAAGAAGCTCAAATGCAGCTGTAAACAGTCCCTGACACACACAAAGACACACACACAAACACACACATACATAAACACACACACACACACACACACACACACATCTTAGTTCTCTGGGTACTCCCCAGCACAAAGCCTAGTACATGTCAGAAAGTAGACACTCAATAATAGAACAATAACTTCAGAGCAATAAGTCACTAGAAATTTATCTAATATAATAAGTCAGCAAGGAGATCCAGGCTGGCCAAACTGAACTAAAAAGCTCTAGGGTTACTGACCACAAAAGAAGTAAAATAGGAAAGCTTTAACTACATGTATCAAGCAAATATGTTTCTAAATTATTTTATTTCTTTTTACAAACCACTGAGATATATATATATAATTTTATAGAAATGCACTAATGCCATCATATACATGATTTTTTAAAATTATTGCAATCTTCTTTCACCTTTATTTTTTCTACTCATGGAAAAGGCCCCAGAACCAATGTTAAAAGCCTAGTATATATTAGTCCATATTTATCTCCCTACACATATAATCCTAATCAGACATATGTCCATACAGACTTTGATATGCACATGCATGCACACAGGGAGGGTTTTGTAATTTATATGCCATTCTGCACCTGTGTTTCTCACTGAAAAATCCCTCATCAACATCCAAGGTGTCTGGTTTACTTCTATTCATTCTTTTTAGTGGCTGCATAATATGCTACGGTATAAATTATCATAATTTATTCTACTAGTACCTTGTTGATGGGCTTTTACTCTGTGTCCCGTTTTTTACCACTACAAACAATGCTGTCCTAGAGGTTCCTGCACATATGCCTTACATGCTGGTGATCTTGTTTCATAGGAGAGATTCCCAGGAGTAAAACTGCTGGGCCAAAGAGAATATGTATTTCTAAGTTTTAAAAGTTGTTGCTAGATTGCTTATTTTTAAGGCAGTAACATTTCACATTCACAAAACAGCTAATATTTTATTCAAGATAAAATAAAACTATGCTTAGAAGATAAGGAATCTATAATCTTCCGGTGGCCATCCCCTAGTCTCTGCTAGACCTCTAAGCCCAGCCAGTCTTTTGCCCTATTCCTCTCATGGGCCAGCCTGGCCGCTCCCTAAAGCTTGGGAAGCTAGATGAATGGCCTTTGTGCTCCCACGGACTCTCTACAACTAGATTTTAACATTGACATATTTTTGCTTTTGTATCTTTTTCAAAGGAGAGGTTCAATAGTTTTCATCAAATTTCCAAAGGGGTCCATAACCCAAAAAAAGGTTAGGAGTCCCTCTCTGGAGTCTGGAGGATAACAAGAGGATTGGGTTATTACTGATGACATGATTTGATTTTGCTGAAGATAACCCCCAAAAAGGTGAATTTTATTGAAGAAGTTTTCCTGTGTCCATCAAGCAATCAAAAAAAAATGTATGCACATTTTTAAGAAGGAGCAAGCTCTACAAATTGTTTCTGAAAGGACACAGGTGCTGGCCGGGGGTGAGGCTGTGGGGAGGGAAACAACAGAAAGAATTGTTTTCAAAACCAGCTAAAAGATCATTTATTCTCCAGTACAATGTTTCTCAGATCAATTAGTATTTGATCTATGTAAAAAGAAAGGGAGTCATTTGGGGCTTCCGTTCACAGGGGTAAACATTTCAGTGGAGAATGAGAGGGGATAGCTTAAGTGGGGTATAGAAAAAAATAACTGTTTACAGAATGTGGAGCATATCTTTTGAGGAGACCCAATAAACACCTGCAAGTCAGGGGTCATGTCTCCTGTAGTTGCTCCTTTTCTGCACTGCGGCTGGCTTCTCTCCACACACACCCTCAGCCCAGGAGCAGGCAAGTCTGAGCAAAGGAGGCATTCAGTAAATGGAAATTAAACCAATAAATAATTGAAACAGCTTTATATTGAAAAAAATTACAGGGAATACAGTGGGTCCTTAAATAAGATTTCTTTGCTAGTGAAGGTTTGAAATCAGGAATGCCATGATTTTTCTTCATTTGTAATTAATGCCAAGAAAAAATTAGAAAGACATCTGCCCACTTCTAAAAAAACTGTTTAATTCTTCATTCTTGTAAGACTCCTGTTTTTCATAAAATTATCTTCCATTGTTCCTACTTCATTTCATACATTACCACATGATCATCAAAAGGTAAAATATAATCCTGACAATAGTTTAGCATGGTTATTAAATAATAACCATTAAATTAATAAGATATCTAGCCTCTAGTTTAAAATTTAAAATGAAGGACAAAGCCCGGCCAGTGTGGTTCAGTGGTTTAGTGGCAATCTATGAACCAGGATGTTTCATCATTGATGTTTCTATCTCTCTCTCCCCCTCTCCCTTTCTCTCTGAAATCAATAAAAATATTTTTTTTAAACAACAAAAAACATCCCTAGCTGGTTTGGCTCAGTGGATAAAATGTTGGCCTGAGGATTGAAGGGGTCCGGGTTCGATTCCAGTCAAGGGCACATGCCAGGGTTGCGGGCTCAATCCCCAGTAGGGGGCATGCAGGAGGCAGCCAATCAATGATTCTCTCTCATCATTGATGTTTCTAGCCCTTTCTCCCTCTCCCTTCCTCTCTGAAATCAATAAAAATAAATAAAAAGTATTAAAAACAACAACAACAAAACAGGACAAAGATGAAAACAGATATTTAAAAACATTAAATTAATAGAGTGGGGCAAAAGTTGGTTTACAGTTGTGAGTATGCAAAACAAGTTTATTCTTGTATTATTAGTATTAATTATTGTGCTATTTTCCATACAAACAACTATAAACCTACTTTTGCCCCACCCTGTATTTAGTCATTTTGCATCTAAAAGTACTGTGTTGATCATCTGGTGTGGCTCAGTAAGTGAACATCAACCTATGAACCAGGAGGTCAGGGCACATGCCTGTGTTTCAGGCTTGATCCCCACTGTGGGGCATGCAGGAGGCAGCAGATCAATGATTCCCTCTCATCATTGATGTTTCTATCTCTCTCTCCCCTTCCTTCCTCTCTGAAATCAATAAAAATATATTCTTAAAAAAATTAAAAATATTATGCTAAGTGAAATAAGCCAGTCAATGAAGGAAAAATACCACATGATCTCACTCATTTATGGATAATAAAGACCATTATAAACTTATGAAAAAAAAGGAGACATATATAATACTCTTTGTAATATTTTAAGCAATAAAACAATTTTTAAAAATTTAAAATAAATAAATAAAAGTACTGTGTGCTTAGGAAGCTAAATCTAGCTAAAGATATTTGTTAGATTCCCCTTGAAGATATTTAGAAATTATAGATTCCCTTGAAATAAAAACAATTCCACACAAATAAGAACTCAAGAGTGTCAGTCAAGAGGGGCCCATAATTTCCTTCCTAGTAAGGACCGAATTTGTATAATCTAATTTCCAATTGACCGTCATTGTGGCCCTTGATTTTACCAAAAATCGAGAGAGACAGGATGGGATGAAGGAAGGGAGGGGAATTCTAATTGTTCTCTTTTAACATTTTTAATGAGAAACACTCTATTAAATATGTATAATAATATTTTCGGAAGCCCAAGTAGAGATCCCATCTCAGAATACAATGCAATGATTGTTCCAGTGGAAGCTTTTTTAAAGGATGAAGCCAATTAGTCATCTTTCTACATAAAATTTCTTGAGTCAGTTTCCAACTCTACAAGGCCCCTGGAGAATTCCAGTGGGAGGTCCTTCTGAAGTCAGTGGGAGCTATAAGAAAGTTCTGAGGTAACATGAAATGATAATTAGGCCAGATAATTTCTGCTCAAAGAAAACACAGGAACTTGAGGAGAGTTGAAACATTCAGTATACCAATAAGGCCAACTGTGTGCTACTGGCTGCCCTTGAAGTTACTCCCAAGAAGCTTTGTCTAACTCCGATATGATACTGCAAATTTGGTTTTGTTGCCTGGTGCTTTCATGAGGCAATGGTTTCAGAGCAGTATCCTCCTTTAAAAAAATACATTATTAGGAAATTAAGAGTATTAATTAAGATTGAAACATTCAGTATACCAATAAGGCCAACTGTGTGCTACTGGCTGCCCTTGAAGTTACTCCCAAGAAGCTTTGTCTAACTCCGATATGATACTGCAAATTTGGTTTTGTTGCCTGGTGCTTTCATGAGGCAATGGTTTCAGAGCAGTATCCTCCTTTAAAAAAATACATTATTAGGAAATTAAGAGTATTAATTAATTAATGGTATTAAGAAATAGTCCCCTCCATACCTACTTATTTAATGAAATGGACTTGCTATGAGTGAGCATCTCTGTATGAGGAAGCGTAGAGAAGCACTGAACTGAGCAATACCACGTTGTATCCTTGAGCAACTGCTCACGTCCATTGAATCAACTCAAGGTTGTGGGCCTCAGCAAAACAAACTGCTTCCAGAAAGGAAAAGGGGCGGTAAAAAAACAAACAGTAGCACTGTACAGACAAGAGACCAACTTTTAAAGTACAAATCCTACCATATAATTAATCAGTCATTCAGGAAGAAGTTTTTAAAGAAGAAAGCATAAAGAAAGTGAAATAAAATAACTAAGACATTTCTTAAAAGTATACTAATGTGTAGAGTTCTATTCTGGTTACTTTTACATAGGAAATTTGAAAAACTAGACAGGACTAAAGACTAGTTGCTATCAGTGAACCTGTATTATGACTGTAAATAGTTCTGTCTTTTGTCCTCTGTTGTTTTTAAACATTTTCAGTGTAAAATTAGACATAGCTTCAAATGTGAAACTGATTTGCCCATCAACTGTATCAGACCTATGTGGCCTCCCTATTAGGACCTTCAGCCAATATCTGAGACTAACCTAGAGAATGGTCCAATGAAATGGCAGGACCGATTTTGGCAGAAAAGAAAGCATAATGGTTCCTTTTTTTCAAGTTCTTTTATTGTGAACTGCACGTGTGACTGCAGAACATTTTTGTCCTATAATCAAGATCATCACAACTAGAAGGCATTTTAGAGATCAGTTAGTTAAAACCCATTAGTTTATGCCCAGAAAACGTCAGCGATGCCCGAAGTCCCATTTAGTGCCAGAGGCAGGACTAGAACCTAGATCTCCTGACGGCTGTTCTAATGCTATATTTTACCAAATAAAATCAAAGGTTAGCAATTTATTTACCATCTATTGAGATAATATAAATAAGTACATTGTCCTTATTTCCTATAACTGCTCTGCTATTTCTCTCAAGTCGAAGTGAGAGGGTCTAAATTTAGTCCCAGCCATTAACCTGACCCCATTCAATGATTTAGACAATCAACTTGGGTAAATTCAGGCTTCCTCCTGCTTCCTGGCTCCTCTCCAGGATCGTATCTAAGTGTGTACGAGCAGAGGCGGCTTCAGTGGCCTCAGAGTGAAGGAGGAGGGAAGTCTCAGACCCGGGCCCATTCTCTCCTCTAACTGCTTTGTCCTCGGTGGCATCTCCTTGTCCTCTCCATCACTGGGTGTCCTGCTGGTGTCTGATGCCGAAGATGGTGGCTGGGACCTCATGGTGCATTCTCCCCTGACCTGGAAAGAGCCTGGTATCACTTGCTGAATCTGCCCCTCCTTCCTGCTCACTGAGGCCCTGCCACTACTCCCCGCCTGCACACTCCCCCCTGCGAGCTCCCGGCAAGCACCTGGGTATCTCTCCACGCGGTGCACTGGAACTTCGTCACCTTCCATGCCCCCTGAGACACTACAATGCTGGGAAGTGGAACTCAAGTTCTCTCCTGCCCACCTTGCCATTGGGCCCCAGGGTCACTGCTGAGGTAGCAGACAGTGCAGAGTCTATTCGCGGAGTGGTCTTCTCTGCTTCTCACCGTCTCTCCACCTATCTACAGCTTCTCTATCTTCCTTCTCAAAAAGGTTCTGCCAGAAGAGAGAGGGGTAGTCGTACTTCACTCTGATTGTTCTGCCTTCTTCCTAAAATGTTACAATCCACCATGGCCAGACCAGTGTTAGGCATTACCCTTCACGTGGGACCACATCCCCTCCTTCCCAAAGTGGGGTTCACTCTTCCTTCTCTGGACCCATAGTGTGAGGTAGTGTGGCAGAACACAATTAACAGCAAAGAAAGACAAAAAAAATACATTAATTTTATATTTTAAAACAGTCTTCTCATTGCAGCTCTTATATTCATGACCCCAGAGCCACAATATTGATGGGCTGGTTATTCAAATGGCTCATTCCAGGGCCCAGGGAATAAGAACACACAGCCTGCAGCCTGACGGCCAAGTGCAGTCCACACCCTTCACCAAGGGAGCCAGGATGAGCCAGGAAGGCAGAGGACCGCTGTGCTGGGACTGAGAGCAGACGGAAAGAATACGGGTCACCTCAGGCGGTGAGGAGCAGAAGACCAGACCTCTATGATGAAAGACCCTAAAACCGTGGCATGACACAGCAAATCAAAACATCTTGGTTATTTTCCTATCTGTCACTACTGGCATATTTGTCTCCTGCATCATTTCATCCAGAAGGAAACTAGAAAAACAATCTGACTTATGGGGAATGGTGGGGTTAGAGTTAACATCTGCACAGCATGTTCTGTTCCCTGAAAGAAACGTGCCGCATCGAGTGAATTAATATTTCTCCTTTGAAGTTCTTACTCACATTCAGCCCTTCCGATATGTGAAACGTAATCTCTCATCCTTTCCCCTGCCTCGCAACCTTGAAAAGCATGCTGACGCTCCTCCTTGTGAACTTTTACCTTACACACATGAGAAAGCGCTTATTGTGGGAAGGGAGAAGCGGCACCGTAGGATCAGAATACAGCATCAGATGGCGAAAAATCAAACGATGGGAACTATAAAGCCCCCCAAATGAGGTTCAAAGAAAGTGGAAAATTAAAAGGCAAATATAAAAGGATTCTTGCCCAAGACCAGCAGAATACCAGAATTACCAACAAAAACCCTTGGGAGGGACAGCCTTCCTGTTTAGAAGTCTGAGGTTGTCGGATGAGATAAGGGAAGGGAAGAGGACCCAGCGAAAAGCAGTCAACTAAGACCAGGAAATGGAAACAGAAGATTTGCACTTAGAAACGGGATCCGCAGCTGGGCAGGATGCAGCCGACCACTCTGAGATCCCATATGGATCTGTCTACCGGAAAGTGCTCAGACCTCCAACTCCCTGAAAATGTTTTGAAACATAATTGAAATCTACACAGCTTCTCTCTGCGCCTCTTGTCACATGTTCAATTTTACCTCCTTTTGTTCATTTAACATCCTCTCCCCACTAGACTCTAAGTCCCTTGAGAGTGAGGGCTTCATCTGGGTTTGCTCACTACAGCATCCCAGTATCTAGCATAGAATTTGGCATATGATGGGCATTTGTTGGCAAATAAAATTTGGCATAAAATTTGAATCATACAGAGGATGCTTTTCGAAAGAGCTCTCCAATCATCTTTGGACAGTAACTAAAGTTCCATAGTCAGGGATTCGGTGCTTTGAAGGAAGTCAGTCTTCAGTGACACCCACTTAAAATGCAACTGCCACCTGAGAAGACTCTTGCTCTGGGTAATTATTTAACACCTTCCTAGGTGGTTAGATGACAGATAACTGAGAGAAAAACCCTCCTGAAGTGGAACTTAGAATAAGGAGGCACAGAAAGGTGCCAAGGGCAAGCCACAGAAAGAGAATGCGTATCACACACTGCCTCCTTGAACTTCCAGAGGTTTATACTACACATGTGTCTTCATTTCTCTTACAAAGATGTCTAATTATTACGTTCCCCATAAAAAAAACACATTACCTTCTCACACTTCCTACTATTCTGTTTCATATTCCTTCCCTGTGAGCCATGTTTTTTATGCCTCTACAGAAATGTGGAAGATTAAAAAAGAATCAGCACAAATTACAAAATGAAGACTCAAAGGTTCCAGAATGATTTGTATTCTCTCCATAATCACTTTCCACCTTTCATCTTAGAGCACTCGTAAATCACACACACTCCATCCAAGAACACAGTGAGCCCCAAATCTCTATTATTTTCAGGATGATTGCAAACAGCTAAGCCAATCCCATAAACAACTAAGTGGGGAGTAGCTAACGTTTCATCTTTGTTTTGAGCAGTGGTTTTCAGAATTCTGCCCTATGTAAGCCCCGGGCTTTCTAAGATGATCAGTCAGAGCCCTGGGCGTGGAGGGTGAGGAGAAGCAAGGGGGACATGGGGAGCGCAGGGGTCTGCTTCCCGCTCCAGTGACAACAGCCCTATTCTGCTCTTTTCTAGAGGGGCTTCCACTCCAAATTCCATTTGAAGAACCATTCCCATAGCTTTAAGAAGTCTGCAGAGCCTGATTCAAAGTACTCAAAACATTGTGCCTTTTCTTCCACTAAAAGTATGCTACACAGCCTGAAAAAAAGAAGCACTTGCTACAACATGATATTAAAATAAGTTAAGAAAATTTCTCTCCTAAGAGGCTTTTCATCTTGCTAAGTTTTTGAAGTTTGGGGATTCCCTAATTTACAAAACATTTGTGTTCCAAAAGTTTAGTTTGTAAGGTAGGGCTTTCGAACTCAGGGCACACTT